GGCACAACTTTTTTTTTTTGATTGATTTCCTGCCTTCAAGACAGCCTTTGCCTCTCATTCATCAGTGCACAATGCAAATCGACTTGCAGAGCTTTCTAAGTTGCTTGTGATGGGTGATCCATCAGACTATTACTTTTTTGGGGCAAAGTTAGGCTATATTATGTGGTGGTGCAGCGACAAGCACAAAGTGTTGGAAACAGGCTCATTGTTGTCACATTATAGGCAATGCAGATTCAACCCAGTCTCTCTCTCTGAAGTTGTTGACATGGTCAGTGACTTCTGTTGCTGGACACCAACTAAAAAAGCCGTCCTTTCACGTCTGCATGATATGTAGCCAGTTGCCGTTATTGATTAATGGCGCCTAACGGTGTCAGGGGAAAACATGTAAAAGTCCAATCACGGCGGGCAGGAGGGGTGGTGGATAGATCCAACAACCAATGACTTTCACCCATGAGGCCGGTGTTTGCTTCCCATAAGATTGTAAAGCCAAACCCTGTCCTTTTTTTTTCCCTAAACCCAACCACGAGTATATTTGCAAAATGTAACTACATGCGTTTGTAGTTGAAGGAAAAAAATAAATCAATTTGCAGTGTTGTACTGACGTAGTGCATTTATTTTGAAACTCTGTCTAAGTCTGTAAGCAAACGGGACATTTCCTGTGAAAACGGAAGTGTATTTTTTAACTCAAACAATGCATGTACTGTAAGAGGCAGAAGTTGATGCAGCATCCCAGAACATCAACAACCAAGGCACCAAGAGTACCTTGCGCATCATATCTTGACGTGGAAAGTACATGACCAAACGCTGATATGTGACGAGGTCAGAGTAAGAATGTGTTGGCAGATTTGTCTAACTTCAGATATCTAACAACACAAGAAACAACTAAATTCACTTGATCCTTTATCACATTATTTGCTTATTATTTGTATTTCCAGTAATATAACTTGTGAATTATTAGCTTCTTTCTCAATCTTAGATTAGTTTTTGGTCTTTGCATTTCATTGTCTAATCAGAAGTGGGTAATAATCAAGTGGCAACCTCCAAGGCTGAAAAAGAAAGCTAATGTCAAAGTGCCAAAAACTGCAGTTCCTTGAATGGCCACTTGAGGCTGCTTTCAAGAGCGAGTCAGTTCTCACCCATGTTAAAATGCCCAACCGTCCCAACCACATAATATAAAAGGTATTCAGTTGGAGAAACAAATCTCACAAGAGCCTTCATAATGAAAAAATGCCTCCTTAATAATAATAATAATAATGATGACAAATAAATGCTGCTTCAATATTAAACCAGCACCAGGAAAACACTAAGGACGGCCCTGATGCAGGTGACCTAGGGGAAAGGTGTTCTTTAATATATCCTCCACCTCAGTTTAAGAATGCACAAAGTCAACCTCAAACAGAGCAGCAACAGACAGTAAAGAAGCCTCAAAAGGGCAAAGAGTTTCCAGAGTTTCTGGCTGACAGTATCTACAACATGAGGTCTGCATTAGATTGAGGAAGGATCAGAATGCCCTGAGTATGCAATTCTCTACCTCTGTTAAGCCCTGGGAAAGGGCGTCGTCACACCCTGATTGACCCAGAGGAGAAATGCACCAAGCTGCTCTCAATTCTTACTTTGGAATCAGTCCCCACACCCTGTGCAGCAGGTGTTCTCAATCACCCTCCAATCAACTCCTGTGGCACTCAGTTAAAATGAATTGGAAAAAGAAAAATGACAGCCAGAACCAAGGAATAAGCTACTGCTAGAATTTTGCACACCCTAAAAAAATACTAAAATGAAGAGTAACTTGCACTTTGAGTAATTTATTAACCAGGTACTTTTTTCACTTTTACTAGAGCCATTTTTTATGGGAGTAATTTACTTGAGTGTAGACTTTCAGTACCCTTCCCACCACTGTGTCCAATTCCATATTGTTATTCAATACAGCTCTGCACAATGAGACAATAAAGCTGGACCTTGAACCCTGAATGCTTTTCATCAGCCGATGCTAAAATGTCAGATATCAGAGTCCTTGAATGCAAAAAGGAAAATGTTCTTTACAGTGGTTATGACTGACTTTTGATCAATAAATAGAACATCAGGATGCCCCTAAAAATAGTTGTTTTATTCCAAAGTGAAATCAATGGAAGCTAACGTTTAGGGTTCATACCCATTTTTACCAAGAAATTTCCATGACTTTTCTATGACTTTAATGACCATACATTCTCTGAAACCTCTGTGCATACATGAAAAACATGAATAAAAACCCATGTTGAAATTTACCAGTCAGCTTCTTAAAATATGGAGGATGTGAAAAAGTAAATGTAAATGAGCACTTGCATACAATGCATGCAAATCTGGCAGCTATCTGGTTCTCGGTGAACATGACCTAAAAAAGGCTGGCTTGTGTTTTGGGAGAGAATAACGAGAATTAGCCACCTTTAGTGCCGACAATACATCTGCATTTAGGGCTTCGTTTCTGGACACAGTATCCGAAATGGTCCCTTGTCTGCCGGTGGACCAGAGGGAACCTGCGCAGCTGGCAGCGGTCGTCATGTTGCTCACCAGGGTAAAAAAGCTGGTGATGGGAACTGAAACGCTTAGCATAGCTAGCTAGCGCTTCCTCTCCCATGTTAAAAATGTCAAAAATTTTGCTACCAAACTCTGCCTTCCTGGGTCCTGGTCTTTCTCAAGCCATGCTTTATACTTGTTCAAGTAAAGCCAGACATTATTTAATCGATATTTTCTTGGTGTTGCATGAACTTACATCTCGTCAAAGAACATGGCCCATGCAGGGAATGGCATAACGTGATGTCTCAGTCAACCTTAACTGAGCCACACATACTGTCTTATACAGGTGTCTGTAAAACACATTTCTATTACTTTTTTAAAACGTTCTGGATGTATTCTAGACCTGCAAATTCCTATTTACAAATTCCATGACTTTTCCAGGTTTTTCATGACCATACGAACCAAAAATGATTGGCTAGAAGGATCTAAAAATGCAAATCAGCCCTTGAGAAAATAGTCAGCAATGATATAAAGTGTTTTTTGTAGTTCATGGGATCATCCTGTCTTCTGCCTGCAGGAATTTGCACCTTCGCACAGTTTTTCGGCCAAGTCGACTGTTACCTTCAAATACTGCAGGGAGCTGCAACTGGCAGAACACTCCGCTTCCTGAACTGAAATCTAACAGAAATCCCACACACCTCAATTTCCTGGTTTTCGCAAGTTGGTGCAATTTTATCATGAAAAACCCGAGTAGTGAGCTCATGATCAAACCTTTGTTGACATATTTTATTCCTTGGAAACCGAGAAATAAACTATCTGAGTAAACTATTTTTAGGAAAGCTACTGAGTGATTAGTTTGTCGTACAGTTATCACTCCGACCTTCTACATTTCCCACTGAAGACGCACGCAGAGCATTATCAGGACGTGGTGATACTAAACTCAGCAGTTTACACACGCGTGACCTATTTTTTTGCACTCTGTGTACATACAGTATTTTGATGAATGTTTGTAGGACAAATAAACGCAGACAGGGTTATAAAGCAGTGATTAAGAAGGGGTAAAACCTTGACCTTTCCGCTAAACATGATAACCTTTACAAATAAGTCACAACAGATTCCTTGTCCCTCTAATCAGTGAGTCAGAGTTTAATCTTGTTATTCTTTACCAGCAACTACAGTAGCCCCCCATTGTCCTACAGTGCAAAGTCGGCTGGTGTGCTGCCAATAATTGTCTTTTCTTTCCTCAGTTAATAATTAGAGAGGTTTTGTACCATGTGTGTGAGTCTGATAAAGGCAGGAAGGAGGGAAGGCAGCTCAGGTCTTGATAAGATGCCAGATAGCTGGTCAAATAACCACCACTCCAAGAATGCCATAACACTCCCCCGAGCACAATGGGACGGGAAATGGATCATAGATCAATCATTTGGGTATGTTAGCGTTTATCACATCCAGAATTTAGGCTGTCATTAAAGGGTGACTTCCGTATTTTTTAACCTGGACCTTGTTTTCCCATGTTTTTGTGTCTAAGTGACTAACAGACACAACAACTACTGGAATTTGTCAAGTATTGAGTGAGAGGGTTGCAGACAATAGCAGCCAAACAGGCTGCAATGTAACCTTAATTGGCAATTGCGCACCGTCAATTTCTTGTTTTTGCCACTGACAGGCTCAGATTTTTATTACAAATGTCTGACAACATTATGGAAAGGATCTCCACAGAGATATAACATTAAAGAGTAAGATCCTTGTTTAACGAGAAACAGCCCATAAATCACTACTGCCAAACACATCAGACTCCATTTAAATAAACAATAATTTTATCATTGTAAAAAAACACTTCATTCAAAGTCGACAGAAACAAAATAAAACTCACAAACAACATCTTGCTTCATCTTTTGACTGTTTCAACAATAACCAACTCTGGTTTTGTTAAAATAAACCCCTAATTGACCCAGTTAAATGTTAAATTATGATGGCTCTATACATGCTTAAATTAAAGTTTTTTTTAAATGGAGTCTGGTGAGTTTGACAATGATGACTTTGGGGCTGTTCTGGTGAAACAAACAAGATCTTACTCTTTGACAAAAAAGTCTATCTGTAGTCAGAAACTTGTAATAACAATCTGAGCCTATCAGTGGCAAAATCAAGCGCTCTTAGTGAAAAATGACAGTGCAGATGGCCTGAGGGTTATATTGCAGCCTGTTTTGCAGCTGCTGGCTGCAGTGCTCTCACTCAATACTGGACCAGTTTAAAAAAAATACTGAAATTACCCTTAAAGCTCTGGATAGTCTCAGGTCAAAGTGTCTTTTAAGTCCTAACAAAACTTCTTTTCTTATCTTATCGTTGTTCCTTCTAATGAGAGGAGCTCAACATGATGCTTCCCAGGTAATGAGAAGAGAGCCCTATAAATGTTAATGTTCCAAGACCATCTCTTTGTTAATAACCACTTAAATTGCTGATGTGAAAAGCACTAAAGTGTAAAAGCGTCTTTAGGAGAAAAGGCAATTTACCTGGTCATACCTTGACTGAGGAGGGTGGCCGTGTCAGCTGGCTCAACCTGAGGAGAGAGGAATGGTTTCAGGGATTAGACATGCACAGATACTTTCAGACAGGTCTTCTTGAACCACACTTAACCTTTATTACTCTCTTTTTCCAGCAGTTTCCTCTAATTTCACTCATCACATGCTAACTGTCTTCCTCGGTCTGTCAAATGTGCTGGTCCTCCAGGCTGCAGTGCTCAGCCTGCCTTGACCCACACTGAATCAGTATTGTCAAGGCGCACTGGCATTGCAGATGAGACAGTTCTGCTCTCACACATCACTAAGTGTAAATGTGGACTGGGTGAATGCGTGGGAGGAGGGACACACGCACTGAACCTGAGCTATTAATGGCAACCCTGCAGCCCAAAAAAGCTAACAACCTAGAAATAATAAAGCACTCTTTAAGGCTGGAAATAGAAAGGCGCGCTCCAGTGAGTAACTCGTTCGGCTCCGCGCATTTTAAAAATAGTGCTGAGTATCTGAGGACACACTCAGAGGGGGGAAAAAAAAGTCACAAAGCGCTCTGTAAAGTCAGGGGGAATTTATAAATTGGGGGTTTTATAGCGTGAATGGAATCTATAAATATCACAGACATGAAGCAACCCTAATTGTACAAAGTTGTGGATGTTGTCATCTTTCTTGGTCCCCGAGGTGCTGTTTGCAGCTTGTTACATAACAGCTGCTGCTGTTTAAGTTTGAGGTTTTTCTTCCTCGGGATGTGAAGTACATATCTGTACAGTTCTGTAGAGGCCTTTGGTATACTATGTGAGGAATGCAACGCTATGTTTACTTTACATATGTACGCCTGGATGTAATCTGACAAGCATGTGTATGATTAACCCATCTATAGGTCAGGCACACACGCAAAGTAGAGGTGAACATGGACTTTGTTATCAGGCAGATCTTTGGTAGATACAGAAATGTATTTAAGTAAAACAGGAGAATAAGTATTTCATACGTTTTTGAGTGTATTCTCAGCATAAAGTCCTGACATCAAATTTAAACATGCACTTGCACTGGATGCATGAATGAACTGAATCGCCAGACCAGATGTTGGCATTGCACATTTCTGCAAACCACAGATATGTAACATTTGCATGTTATTGTGAGGCGGATATGTCAAAACCTTACTTTTCTTTACATTTCGACAACGCTGTGGTTAACATGTGGCATTAACCACAGGCATGTTTGACATGCGTAGGCCCAAAAACCACTTGGTTGTTGACACACCGAGTTTGGTGCCACAATTGCAGCTGGAAATGCTGTGATGTCCTGCTAAAAAACAAGCAGTGTTGTTGTTTGTTGGTCTCAAAGAGTGGTCTGCATCCTGACAGCTGTCTACACTATCTTTTCTGCATTAAAATGTCTACAAAATGACTTGACCAATGTCATATATTTTGTTGAGCTGTGTACTTACATTATCTCAGACAATGCCTACAATACTCAACCCCAGAGTAAACAGTAATTTTCAACGAGGACATAGTTAGTGTCATTTGCTCACTGTAGCGTTGCAGTGGTGTCATATCCCATTTGTGCTTAAATCAGGGTTGTGGTTGTCTGCCAGGAGCTGTCATAAATTGACTTTCTATCCAGTTTTAAGTCACATTTTTAAGATACACTTTTTAGATCTTGGTGGTTTTTATCTATATGCTTTAACCAGATTAAAGATTTTAGTCACTGGACGTCTGGATCTTAAATGACCAGAGAAACAAGCTGAGCAAATGTCCAGCTCATGCCAACCAAACACTGATTTGTGATGTGAAACTGCTTTATTCAGTTTTTATACCAGTCTATTTTGGAGAGGAAGATATGATACGGATACGATACCATACGATGCGATGCGATGCGATTCATTTCCCCTCATGAACCTTACCCACAAATTGGACATACAATTGCACAAACCATCCTGACCATGGACCACATCACATGATCTGTAGATAATTTGGCTCCTGGTAAAAACTTACTGAATGGCTGGATCTTAAATTACGAGAGAAACAAGCTGAGCAAACGTCAGCAGCAGCTCAGCTCCAGCCCCTGCCATGCTGAACAGCATCAGAGAAACACAGATTTTTAACATGAAACTGCTTTATTTAGGGTTTTATCAATTTAAAGCACCTGGTCTAGAGAGAAAGAAACCTCTGGATAATTCGGCTCCTGCTAAAAACATTCTGAACATCTGGATGTTAAGTTATCAGGGAAAAAAGGTGAGCACAAATCTGCAGGAACTGGGCTAGCAGCTCCTCTGTGGCAAGTCGAACAGCATTGGGGACACACGAATTTTCTAACGTGAAACAACTTTATTCAATTTTTGTATCAGTTTAAATAATGTGGTCTGTTTGTTTTGAAGAGGAGGAGACTTCTGTGGATAATACAGTAAAACACCAAAAGTTAAGATGGTGTATTGGCTTTGAAATGAAGCCAGCCCTCACACATGTATGTTAAGGATTTTTTGAAAAAGCACATACAGGAATAACCTCAATGCCTCCAAGTGTCTCTGTTTCATATCTGAGACTTTTTTCACTCCATCTGTTGCTCTATTAGCTTTGCCCTAGAGCGTGCAGTGTGAAAGTCAAAGGGCTGCGGTTACATATAGTTTGAGTGAACATGTGCCATCTGCCCACACTGTGCAATAATGTGGTGAGATAGCTTGGGCCACACATTGGACCACAAACTAGTATCTATTACTGGCACGGCGGCAAGAGTGTGACTTTTCTTTTAGTCATTGTTTCGCATTTCTTCCCTTTTTTTCCTGGAGCAAACCCAACAGGGGCCACAGCACGGCTTAGTGGTGCCTTTGCAGACACCTCTTTAAAGCTATTAACATTACACAGAGGACATATTAACAGCCTGAATAGTAGCTTGTACCCAGGATTATAAACTGAAACTTGAAGTTCAGTTTCCACATTTCTTTTGTAAATCTTAGGTTCTCTTTCACAGTACATGTGACTACAAATGGGCTTAATGTGCACTAAATTCTCTTCTTTCTGAGGGGTACTGGCGTGGGAACAACAAGCGCCCAACTCCACAGGGTGAAGACAAGGCGACTGCAGACAGACGTCAGACATCAGACTGCCATCCTGTCTAAAAATGTCCCTCATCTTCAACAGGAAGGAAGTCATTTCTGAGGGCGCTGGCACCAGGGGAGTAAGTCAATGTGATAAAAAAGTGGGAAAAAATAGTCAGAAAGAAACAAGAAGTCATGTCTCACCATCTCAAAGAGGATGCGTGTGTTTGTTTTAGCCTTTTAAGGCCATGACCAGCTACCGTGCCCTCTGGGTTTCACGTTTTTTGTGCTTCAAAGAGGAAACTATGAATGCATGAATAAGATGAGGCGGTAGCTGGTAAAAGTTTAAGTAAGCACACTTAAAGAAACTGATGGCCAGAACAGCTTGTGTCAGCTCCAGAGAACTTTTAGCTGACTGGGACTTTCTATTGGCTCTCGGGCATTTCTGAGTCTAGCAGGGTTGGCACCGTTGTTGGCACCACTGGGCTACTTGACCCAGACACGTCAAACTCCAACACTTGGGTAAAGAGTATAGCATTCTCCAGATTTCTGACACCTTTGTGTTTGTATGACTCAGAATCATATATATGTAGACACTGACTGTGTCAGCCGGCTGCAGTGATACGTCAACATCACCGCCATATTACAGAGAGCAAGACTTGCAGGAAAACAAGCCAAATCCATGATTTACAAACATGAGCTTTTATAATTCCTAAATACAATAAATTATTTTCCACCACCTTGGTTATTTAGTTCATGTAACCCTAACACACACTCCTCTTCTTGAGCATCAAGCAGCAATTATAGCATTAAAATAAAGCTTCTAATTAACTGGAGGCAAAACTTTTTTCCTACTAGATCATAAACTCATGAATATAAAAATGAATCATTGCAGTTGGTTGGGAAATACAAACGTTATAGTGCTTTTTATCCTAAATGAAAATTATCTTGCTTAACAAAACGTGTAAGTATCAAACTTTTATTTGCCACAGAGCTTATTTTCGGCAATAACACAAAATCCAAAAGGCTTTTTGACAAGGGAACCGGGTGACGCTAACTTCTGCATTGGTCAACAAAAAAAAAAAAAATCATCAGCCAAGCATTTTATGAGGCATCTATGTTTCTTTATCTATGCTCAGAATAACACCAAGATCATTGCTCCTTCTTCAGCCTCTTGCTCTGAGGTGGATTGTTTGAATTTTTGGAGCTCTTACTCAGAGAGTCAGTGGAGGACATCTCAAGCATGTCTTAAATATTTAAAGAATGAATGACTTAATAACAAATGAAATAATGATGAGTTATTCAAACAACGTCTGAGTCACTTACTGTTTCTCGGCCTTCTCCCGGTCATCCAGGAAAAACAGCGCAGTGGCCAGGAAAAACATGCCCCCCAGGACGATGATGAAGGGACAGAGCATGAGGGCATAGCCCAGGCTGAGGAACCGCCACAGCGCTGACGTAGCGTAGCTCTCCTGAAGGGCGTCAGAGATCTGCACACACAGGCACGCCACCACAATACACGATGACAAACACATCCCACGCCACCATCACCAAAACCACCACACACACAGACAAACACAGAGAGAAGAGAGGAGATTTTATTCAAACTAATCATCCACCGAAAGTTCCTAAAATATCCAGTCATGCTCTCACACATTACATGATGCTGTGCTGGCTTCACGCTCACGCTGACTCACATGCAGAGGGAATTCATATTCTGCATTCTATCCTAGCAACACAGAAAAGTGACACACAGCATGATGTAAGACGCCCTGCTTTTGTTTTAAGAGAGGCAGGATTTCACAGCTAATAGCTCATATTGCTGTCGAAGTTTTGAGTAACACTCAGTCTGTCATGCGTGCGCTGAGGAAAACAGCAGCTGGAGAATGGTGAGCGTGAAGTGACCATTTCTGCCTCCCGATGTCACTCATAAGGCAGCTCACAAACACACATAGATCATTGTGCTGACAATTGTGATGGAGAGGAGGCTGCTGATGGTAGCTTTTAGCAGATTATGTGTATGTATGCACAGCAGGAACAAGAGGGGGCTTCTTGTCCATGTGTGAGTGAGAGTCTGAGTGGTCGTAGGTCACTCCGGCTGAAGCACATTGATTATATGTTAGCGTCAGCAGAATGGGATTCTCTACGGAGAGAGCTGGAGAACTGCTGACAGGAGGATGTCGGAGGGAGTGGCCATGTGTGTACAGTTTGTGTTCATCTGTGCACTAATGCATCGTGAGGAGTAAAGGAATGTCAGTGGTTAACTGTTAATTGGTTAACTGCCAACAATATTTTTTACTGGTTACCAAGTGGAAACCTCCAGGGTTGAAAAATGAAGCCAATGTGGACATGCCAAAAACTGTAGTTCTTTGAGCGGCCACTTGAGGCTGACTACAGGAGTGAGTCAATCCCTATGGGCATATAGGCATAATTAAGGGTGGGCAGCTTTAAATGACAGGCTGTCTGCCAATAGCATCCTCGGCTTCTCAGTCAGATCCCTCGCTCCTCCATAGCGCCACCTTCTCACCAAAATATGGGCAATGCTGAACTCCAGGCTTCAAAACAGAAGTCCACAAACCAATGGGTGATGTTATGGTGGCTAAGTCAATTTTTTTTAACAGTCTATGCCAGTTATGCATGTCGGTCTTTAGTTAAATTTAGCTACTCTTCAGTTTACTGCACTGTGTTCTAAACTTCTGTTGGCAGCTAGCTTGAGGTGCACTTCATTGCTGCTAATAGTGGCATCTTGACCCCACAGTGTTGTTGCGGAAACATGGTAGCCAAGCTCTGGTCTCCCCCAGTGGCAACCCAGACTAGCATGGCTAGTGGTGCTAACACAACAGTGCTAAAGGGGTTTTGTGGCTCAAAATGAAGCTCCTTACTCACAAGGGCTATCCGGGGGGACACCAGAAGGTTTCTGCAGCAACGCTATACCACCACCAGGATGGCGTTACCAGCGGTAATCGCAGAATGAGTGGTGCCGCTATAGCTCCCATCCAACCCGGGTGGTGCACAGTGCAAAGCGGCCAAGGTTAACTAGTGGAGACCTGATGTTGGGCAGTAGGCACCACGTTAAAGCAGCAAGCCACTGGTCTGTCAGCAAAGCCAACAGAAAATAAAATAAAAGGCAGGACATTTACATCACAAAACATTAAAGTTTCACCACCTCTAAATGGATAGCGCTTTGAAATGTGATGCTAAAGCTCAGACAAAAAGGAAAGGCCTCTTGTATTCACATCTTTTTTTTTTCAAATTAAGTGGGTAGCCACCTGTTAATGGGTGTCAGGCTATTGAAAGCAAAATTAACTAATATAATAATTAAGTGCATCCCTAGTAAGGATCAATTTGTGAAAAAGAGAGGATGGTGGAAGGAAATTAATAAAATACACGTGTGTGACAAAGTCTGGTGTAGGTCCAGCAGTTGTGTGTGTGGCCAGTGCAGAGCTATTTCATCAGGTACAATAAACTGCCTGCACAGCGCGGCTTAGCTAAAAATACATGGTGAACTGCTGCATGTCTAATTATCAAGCTAGAAGGCAATTTCTTGGGAGATTGCTGAGAGATTGTTCCTGGCGTTCCCCTGCCACCCACTCTGCCTGCGGCCATGTCCTACTCGTACAGTATAGGAGGAGTCCATTAAGCGGTCCTCGGGGGATTCTTATGTGACAACTGCATTGGTCTACGTGCTGATGGAGGAGGATCTTGGCTCAAGCTCAAGAGAATTTCAGATGCACTTTTTGACACAACAGAAAGTGGCAGTTATGTGGCATCCAGGCACCAATATCTGCAGGCGTTCCCACAAAAAGCAACTATGGTGCACTGGGAGCACCACATTGGTTTGCAGGGATGAGCACATCATCCTCAGGTCTGTTTGGCACACATGTCAAAACCCAGTTGTGAACCAAATGCACTGACTCACTCACTCACTTTCTCCTGTGGTTGCTTAGCAATAACCACTCGTCTGTTTTTCTTGAGATTCTCCACTTTGCTCACTCACAGGATTTGTGCCAGTCTGCATGGGTGACTGTATATCTGTGTGCGTCACGACACGTCCATCACACTCGCGTGCTAAACCTCAGTTCAGGAACTGAGGCAGTGAGTGGTGACGCACTTGGAGCTTTCTGAGCCTCGTTGGTTGGGGGTTTGTGGAGGGGTGAGAAACCCCCGGACATTTGGTATGTCAGTCAGAGGAGAGTCGTGACCCCGGAGGCTGGATGGAGATCTGGAGTGACTGGCTGACAGTGGGGCCATGTCAGTGTGTGTATGTGTGTGTGGGTGTTATTATTCTGACAGAGAAAGGAAATCATATAGGTAGTCTCCCTTTTCCACATATCATGGTGTGAGGTTGAAACTGAAGGTGGAACTAATGGTAATTTTCATCATTAACTAATCATTAATCTGTTTAATTGCTGAATCTGTGAAATGTCAGATTTTAGTAAAAAGTGTCCTTATTCAACTTTTCACCACTCCTGAGAGCAGCAGCCCTCGCTATCGACTTCACACATCCTTAATGTGACCATGTCTGCTGCCTCGCAGGAAATGTGTGCTGTTAGGTAACTACTTGTTTGCTTATTTACCATCTATTTATGACAACACATTAGTTCGCCTGCATAGCTCCTGCCTGGTGCATGTCTACATACTGTTTGATAGTCCTGCATCATGTAAAGTGAACTTGCCTAACTAACCGATAATGTGTAGTGGTCTGTATATAGTAAATTTTGAACAACAAGCCTGTGCGGCAGAATTGGCTGGTTGCAATATTTACATCAGAGGAACTGAACTGAATTAGACTGAGTCACACTGTATTTCAAAGTGCTGCATCTCTTAATGTTTCAGAGGGAGGTCTGTAGAATACAAGATGACGCTGGGTTATATTTGATCTGCAGAAACAATACAGCGTGAGTCTTTGAGCCAAATTCTGCTTCCCGGAATTTTTATTTTTTTATTTTATTTTTTTTTCGTAAATGCCACTTTTGTTTAGTCTTTTGAAGAGCTTGTCAGTACTCGGAGATAACTTACTGCTCCTTTTATCTGGCTGCGACAATAGTTCAACATTTCCATTTTAGGAAGAAAAGAATAACAGGACACTTTGAATGCATCCCGACAGACAGCTGCGTCTGCTGCCAGCCTGTCAGGCCCCGGCGGAGGATCTCGAGGATCAGTTTGATTCACTAATCAAAGACTTCCACTTTGCCTTTGTGAACATGACCTAGGCTGTGAGCCAGAGGCACAACAATAAAACAAAATGTAAACACATGACACTAAGGCAGTCTGTTCTTTCTCCAGCAATTTACCGGCACCAAAGTGCATCATAAACACTGATATTAGAAATTAAACATTAGGATGTGATGTGAAGATTGTGATGTGCAGTATAGCTGTGATGTCACTGCAGCATGTTTTTGTGTGTTGTCAATACAAAAGCGCCTATACCTTTATGCTTAATTGAGGCTTACAGAATGTGTACCTCAGTAGAGTTACTATTTAACTCTGCTGGGAATGAGAAGAATGCTGCTTGACAGTCTGAGGTGGATCCTGTTTTACACTTCATTGAATAGCAAGCAGCTCTTGTATTCCGGCCTCCTGGATGTATGCATGCAGTTTGGATGGTGCGGGGGGGCTGATGGGGGTTGAGTGACCTTGAGAGGCCTCGCTTCCCAGTAAGAACCACTCTCTCATCTCCTGACCAATCACATACAGTAACACCGGCCCCTCCTGGGAACCACCAGATTTACTAGAAAACACCACTGACAGCCTGAAGAGCAGTGGTGAAATCACAACTCTGTTCACCAGCCCTCCTGAGACGTGTGCTAAAAGCTCCTCTTGTACTTCACTTAGCACTGGCCCACTTAAAGCAAGAGCTAAACTGGTATCTGATGGTGTGTATGAATGTGGCGCTCACTAAAGATGTGCTGGGATTTACGACATAGGGTAATTCTTAAATAAGTCCTCCATTCACACATCGTTTTTCTTTGGAGTCTTACCAGGCCTATCAGGTACGGACTTCCTGCGTCACCCAGGAGATGAGAGGTGAAGCTCTGAAAGGCGACCGCCGTTGCTCTCCTCGTGGGGATAACGACAAACTGTGAAGAGAGAAAAAAAGAAGAGGGTGAAAAATATATGAGATGATTTGAGGTGATGAAGTGACAGAGGTAGGGAGACTCACTCAGCTGTGTTAAAACAACTCTTGCAGTCTTCAATTATGCACGCAGTGACCACCTCGTTGGGTCAGAACACCCCAGGCAGACCTGTCAGTCACAGTTAAAATGTCCTATCTCTGTCTCTACATACTCACCACAGTCTCCAACCTGATTATAAATTAAAGCACTGGTCGGTGCACCCACCTTACTCAAAGTCTAACTTAATTTGGCTCACTTTTCACTTTTAGATGCCAAAACATACATCAGAGAAAGGGCTCCCCTCCATTTGTTTCCACAAGCAGTGTATGAATCTTGGGCTACATCCACTCTGGGATACTTAGCAGTTTCATGCTGACATGCCTGAAAACTGGCTTAGTTACAGAAAATACTAAGCAGATGGCGAAAAGAAAAACCAGAGATTTCCTTGCTTGGCTTGACGACAAGCTAGTTAGCTGAAAGTAACAAAACAGAACAGGCAAATATGGTGAGGTATCAGAGCGGTACCGACATAATTATCCATTGTCAAAGGAGGCAGTAACAATAGAAAAGGTAAAATCACAAAAGATATGTAGACCTAGCTATAATGTTTTGGCCTGACACGTCATGACTGGTAATACCCGTTCAGGAAGCGAACATGGGTGTGCCTCATTGTTTAAGAAGTCTCAGTTTCCGCCTTTCCAGACTAAGGGCCCTGACACACCAGGCTGACAGTTTTTGTGGTGTGTCCCGCACTGTTGGTCCTTGTCAGCCTTTTTTCTGGCCGATTCAGCATGTTGAATCAACATTGGTGGCAGAGTCAGTCGGTGAATGAAATCATTGTGATTGGCAGTTAAGCCAACAACCACCTAAAGTCAAGAGGGCGTGTTCGTAATTACTGTTTGAAATTGTTGTGTTACTGTTCGCTAGCTCATGGTAAATTTAATTTGTTCTTGTTCAACATCGGGTTGTTGTTAATGTGCTAACTGGCTAACTAGCGTCTTGAATCCGTCCTATCGGTATTTCAGTTTCTCTTTTCAAATGACGAAGACAGACTACCACTGCTGGCTGGTATGGAGAGTTATTACCTCTCACACAAGCGCAGAAGGTACGTGCTAGTTGGCTGATCGCTGTAGTCTTTGTGGTGTGTTCAGGTGCAACTCTTTGGCCGACACAAAAAGGTGAGTTTTCAAACTGAAACAAGGTCAGCAGGGTTTTTAAAGGTCTTCGTTTAAGGGGTTCCAAAATGCTGGAGTAGTGTGGACACTAGGTGTAAACGTAGCAATAGTTATGCATTTTAAAATGAAAATTTGTTACGGTGGATGTAGCCTTGGTAGAGACAGTAATTATCAGCTGCACCCAAACTGTTGTCCACTCACACATTTCACAAAACTGTAGTTAATTGAGTGGGCGCAGTTTGTTGCAGGAATTTCCAGTGACCCAGTGGATAAGTATAGGTTCTCAGTACTTACCATTAAAATGTCTGCTGTTATGGCCCAGTTCAGGAAAAGCAGTGTCTCTCCTATAAAGATGCAAACCTAAATAAAGCAGAAAAAAAAAGTCCATTTAGTGGTGCTAATTAAGATCAGCCCATTTCCACTACACAAAGGACTGGTAACCAGACATGAAGCCAAAAGAGGAGGTTTGCAGATATTGCTACTGTGTGTGTGGGAATCTACTGCTGAATAAAAGTGCCTTGGTTGCTGTGGTTTAAAAACATGTTATTATGCCGTGGCCCAATTATACGTGGAGATGAAGGCCTTCATTTTGGTCCCATTGAGCTGAGTATTTAGCCTACAAGCTGAAAAACAACACAGCATGATAAGGGCTGTTTATTCTTGTCAAAGCCGTGTATTCAATGTGGAAACATTTTAACACTTTCTATGTTTAGATCCAGCTGCGAGATTTGAAATTATGTTTGAATGGGTGGAACCGAAAACATAAATAACATAGCTGACCTGTCATACAGTTTACTATATGTGCATGTGGGCTGCTGTATGTACACGGGTTGGTACCAGCTGGTGTTACTATTTGGCCACTTTCTTAAAAACAGACCCAGAAGGATTTCGTTGCAGTGGAATCTCATGTGTCTGTATTGGCTGGTTTCGTCTGGCACACTTTAACATGGCCCCTTGATGTGTGTTTCCTGCTGGGGAATAACCCTTCTGCCGGTGTGCCAGACCTACAGTGCAGTACAGAGAGCTACAGAAGGAGTCTGACGGAGGAGATGTAGACAAGTCTGTTCTGAGAGCTGCGAACCAGACACCATGACCGACATGTTGCCTCTCAGGAGAGAGAAGCCCGGCCTTTCCTCAGATTAGCTGCGTGTTGACGAGACAACAGCTGCGAGAGGTCAATCGTTACGGCCACGTCACGCCTTATAATATGACACATCTGTCAGCACTTCGCCGTGAAACCTGAGCTGATCATTAACAACTGCTGCTGTACTGTACGATGATTTAATATAGTACAGTAGAGTAGTCTGTGAAAAAGTGAAGTCACATGTTGAAAGTTAAGGTCTGTAATACTTGCACAGAAAAACTGGTTCCTCAGCGGTTCTTTGGCATGGGTTGAGGTGCATGCACTCTTTGTATGTATACCTATGGAAAGTAATGCACCGGAATTTGCATATAACCCATTTAATTAGGAAGGCTGCGATCATGTGACTAGTGCACTGATGAGGTACGTTGGGGTGGTGGATGGGCCCAACAATTACAGGACTTTCCCCCGAGAGACCGGTGTTTGTGTCCTGTGTGACAACAAGTGAACTTTGTGTTATTTTAAGGTATGTAGGAAACAATTTACGTTGAGGATGTGATGTTACAACATCCAACCTAGTTTCTTTTCGTAAACCTAACCTACTTAACTTTACATAAAATACGTAACATCATGATGCCATTCGTTGAATGCTAATTTTTTAGATATCATACAAAGCGTAATATGAGGATATGTTTGTTCTTCAGAGGTTCTCTACTAGTTCTTTCCCTAGTCAACTAATCTAATGTAAGCTGAAGATCCAGTACAGAACCTTTTAAGCCCCTATATTGTTCTTTAGAGGTCCTCCTCTGGTTCTTCAGTTTAGTTTAGTTTACTTTACTGCTGACAGAATAAAAATAAAAACACCACAACAGCCTACTAAAAGTTTATTTCCAGAGATAAATTATTAAAAATTGTTCATATTTTAAATAAAAGTGTCATTTAGAAGCATATTGACTCATCTAAGGTATTATCTGGCATCATTCAAGGGCCCCTGGCTCCAAAATTTAAAAACACTATATTACTATATGGCACCTCTGATGATGTCGCAGTCACCTTAGTTTTACAGTCTGACATCAAGCTGCTGAACGTTTCATTCCAAGGTATGCTAATTGTTTCTTTAATTTAAATGTCTAACACGTTTAAGGTTTGTTAGCCTAGCACAGCGTTGATTTCTGTATTCAAATGTTGCAAACATTAGATATCAGTGTGGGCATACACAATGCCCTAATGCTAGTGCTTTAGTGACAGTGGATGCACTTCATAAGCATGTAACGTTACTGATTCCATGGGCGCACAGTTAAACCAGTGCTGTCCAAACAGGACTGTGTTGTATTCACTATTTTACAGTGGGTGCCATACAGCGCCAAAACAGGTTCCCTAGTGATTATGAGCCAAAGAATTGCTTTTGGCTACTGTTTAGCAACATTTTTGTTAAAAGGAACTACTATTGATGTTGTATGTTTTCAGAATTTATTCTTCTTTGTTGAGATAATAAAATATTTGAGTGCATCATGCACCTCGAAAACTGGTGTCACTTGAGTGCATGGGTAAAAGCCCTTTCTGTCACACAGGCTTTTGTCTAAAATTGAGTTGGACAGATCTGTAATCATGTAATTAATATGGACACCTCAGGTCTAATTGACTGAGTCTTGCCTCTGTGATACACCTAATAACTGTGTGCCTTCGACCTCATGGGAGTTTATTCATTCATTAAGTCAAAATCACCACTTGAGCGAGTAATTATGTATCATTTAGTAACTCCTTTGTATAGCCGTTGTTGAAAATACTCTGCTCAGTATATGGATCATGGAGCATTTAATTAAGGTTATTGTTTAATATTTCCATTCTTTCTTGATTGACAGGGCGTGTTATCGCAGTGGCTTATCACCCTGAACATAAAAACAACACACCTCACATATACATTAAATAAGTCAAACATGCCAAGGTCAGCCAAGGTCACATATTTAGGATATGGGAGGCTGTTTGTTATGTTCCTTTACACGCATGGGAAATATTTCCTATCTTTTCCAGCCTTCCAGCATTATTACCGCCCAAGTTGCTGAGAGTCAGTTCCTATTCCTTTGTCTCTGATAAGAGTGAGAAATTTGTGCTTGGTGAGTCCAACAGCCCAGAGTGCATTGTTTCAGGGCAAGGATTGTTAAGTTGCACCCTTTCCTGCTTCTCAAGGCAATTAGACACACAAGCTTTCTGGGCATTCGCCTGAGACTTTTAACTTTTGGCCAGACGAGGTATGAGCCTCAGCCACCTGCAGCACCTCCTGAGGCCATTTCAATCTAATTTGCAATTAAGGCTATTCATTATGAGGAGCTACACCCACTCACTGCCTCTGGGCCTGAAAGGAACTGGCGTCAAGCAAGGTGTCCTGCCACTGCTTTATTCCTGATTCAAACATTAACCCCACCCGATAAGCCTTCTCTTGTTAGATTGGTTACCAGACTTTCTCCTTTAATTCTCAGCCCCTGAGGCTAATCCATAATTAACATAGTAATTGCTCTTAGTTAGAGGGACATTTTTCACTGAGGACACTGTTGATTCTTAGAAACAGTTACAGGAAGTGACTCTTAGGCCCATTGCCAATACACCCTTTGCCCCTTCGAATTAGCCCTTCCACCTCTGTTTTGCAGGTTCATGTCTTCGGTTAGGGTGTCTCGATTCTTGTTGGGATAGAGGAGTAGGGCGAGGTGTTCCCGGCTGGTCACCAATATCTTTACACATTGATATTTGGTTGAATTTACGTTGTGATGTTGAGTGGTGAGTCCACACAACGTGAACTCAAGAACGAGGGGTAGGGGTAAAAATAAGAAATAGGATTGGGCCTTACATAAGCTCCTATGATGCTCTTCTTGGCCACCACAAAGATGAGGCAGATGAAGATGGCCGAGCCCAGCATGCTGACAGCGCACACAAGCGGGTCGGCTCGCTCTGTCTTCTGGCGGCACAGGCGTGTGGTGGCCGCCCCGATGACCACACCTAACAGACCCGTCACACAGGTGATCGCCCCGAAGATTAGGCTACACAGGAAAGCAGAGACAAGGGTGTTGTTATAAATATATATCATGCAAGTTTTTAGTGTGTGCAATCCTTTAAATAAAGGTTTACATTTAAAAATAGTATTGGTTATTATACACTGAAATACTTCTGATATAAACAGATGAACTGGACTGAACTACTAAAGCTATAGCAGTTCAGTCCAGTTCATCCAGCTTTGAACACAAAGATTGCTGGTATCTTTACCTTTTACAACGTTTCAGATTACACCAGTGACTTCAAAGCCTGCACTCTGCGTTTAGTCATTAACCTCTTACCTGTCTGTGCTGCTGCAGATCCCGTTTGTGCAGGGCTCCGCCGTCTTCTGCACCACCTGGGCTCTGAACAGATACAGAGGGATCCACATACCAAACGCACCTGTGGCAAAAGACACTGCCGCGGACGCCAGGGAGGAGAACACATAGCTCCGACTAGCCGAACAAAGAAAGACACGCACAAACACACATTCAAACAGGTGATTATCTTGGCTTACAAAAGGCAAACATAAACAAGCTGCTGTTTCTGTTACACAATCTCAAACATCTCTTGGTCTCTTTTGGTAATCAGATAATAAAGGAACATGACAGGAGTTTAGGGGGATTAGTGTTGTCTCAAAGGTGAGGAAATGAGAATTTATTGCAGCTCTTGTGTTAAATGGTAAGCAAACTGAAACGACATGCAGTTGACAGTTTTATGAAGGAAACAAAAATAACACTTCAACGCGTTCCATTAGTCGTGAATGCGTACAACTAAAAGTCACACTCTGTAGGTGATGAATATGTGGTTGCTCTCCTAAAATAGTTCCCATAAACCTGCATGGCTGTATCACAGTAGCTGTAGAGAGTCTATAACATTTCTTAAAGAAACGTAGCCCACAGGTCATATAATAACAAGGGCCCACAGTGTCATGGGTGCATAGCTCCCTTCACAGTTCCGCAGTATTGCAGAGTGGTGGTGCGTGAATGATACTAGTTCACTGTGTCTTGTGTTGACATTTCCATGCCTCTAATGGCTACTATAGACTACCCATGGGTGAATGTGTACAAATAAGAGTGTGTTTGACTCTAGGGCTCTAGGATAACTTTTATATTATTGTTATTTTAGTTTTATCTATCAATCTGCCAACTATTTTTTCGACCAATCACAAGAAAAAAATTGGTGTTGTATGTTTTTGAAAAACACGGATACGATACATTTGCACTTTATTATGAATTTCATGTTTCACAACAGGTTTCGGCACAAAAACTGCTTCATTATGGTGTGGAAAAGTTCATGTTTTGGCTTAAAATACCCGTTTTTTGGGGCACAATACCCTATGGAAAGGCAGAAATGGGTCGCTGAAAAACACCCACATCTGGGCGCTAAAAAGCAGCAGGAAAAACAGCCAGGAGTCCCTAAAAACACCCAAGTTTGGGGGCTGAAAGTGACTGGGAAAAGAAACTTGGGTAACTAAAAAATACCCAAGTAGAAAAATATCTGAAGCACCTTATTGAAATAGTTGATTCATTTGACGTTGATCAACTAATTGCTTAATTTGAAAATCATTGCAGCTTTATTTGTGTCCAAACTGGCAAAAGATCCAAAATACCATGCTCATTGCCCATCATTCAACAAGTGTAGTCTTGTAGTCTAGTCTGTAATTGTTAGCATGCATGGCTCTTGGGGGAAAAAATGGATGATTTTGGGGCCTCATCACTGCACAGGTAACAGGTAAATCCCCCCCAAAACCTGGTGTTTTCCCTGAAGTGGATGGGACGCCTTACTTCTTGGCGAGTGCCTTCATGTCACAGAGCCAGGACGTGCGGGTCTTGATGCGTCCCATCTGGTCAGCGCTGCCTCTCTTTGGCTCCGGCACAAAGAGCAGGATGAGAGTTCCAGCGGTGATCCCTAAAACTGGAGACACCTACCAGGGCAAGAAAGACCCACAAGTTAACACATCACACTGACGTGATATTCATAGTGGGAGGGGGGGCGGACATGAGATGCGGGACAAAGAACAGTGTGTTTACAATCTGAAAGGACGGCTGCTGTGTTTGCCGATACGCCTGACATCCTATACAAGTCCTCTGGAGCTAAAAACATTCCCTCTGCTTACTCTGTTGCCACTGTGTGTGTGTGTGTGTTTATGTGAGCTTTTGAGAGCTGCTTTGTGAGCGCTGCACCAAGGTAAAAAACCTCTCCTATTATGTTCACTATCATCTTTTATGGGCTATGAGGTAGCAGGTTTGTGCATGTGTGCGTCTGTGTTTAGGGAGACAAAGACAAAAGGCAGGATGGGATGTGTGGGAGAGGATTTGTTCGACTAATACAAATTACTCACAAAAGCAAAACCAATTTCAGCTGTCAGGGGAAATTCATCATATTTTATTTTGTAGCTTATAAAGCCATTTATGTGCTGTGAAATGTATGTGTGTGTGTGCAAGTTTTTCATGGAGGAGTAATTTTGAGTCTGATGTGGCTCATAATGCGGCTGATAATGTGGCTCAACGCAGTGGTCTCGAAGGTGTGAGGATTACACCGACACTGATCATTTTCTCTCCCATATTGTGTCTTCTCTCCAATCTTCCTCTGCTTGTGTGGAGCAACTTAACTGGCTCGACATCTACATCAGAATCTTATCATGTGCTTTCGGCAAGAGGCGGCTTAATGGAAAATATCTCATCTTGAAGAAAATAAATATTTGCTCTGTTCTGCACTCATCATTATTCAGCAAGACACCAGGAGTCTCTGACCTTTGACCTTGACTCCCACAGGGCACATTAGACACTTCCTATATGGATGGTTTGCAATCAAACAAATTAGCTCCTGCCCTCTCCTGCTCCTCATTTCTATGCATCCGTCCCTATTCCTTTTTATCATCCACATTTTTGCTAAACAAGGACAGTAGCTGGAACACATTTGGCGAAAACAAACGGAAGCACTGAGATGTTTTTTTCCTTAAAGCAGGATACGGCTGCACTGAACCCTTTTCATGTCTTGGTATTTGTTTTCCTCCGCATGCCACACCGCTGATTAATTGGCTTCGAGACTGTTTTATTGGAATGTCATTGTGGCTGCTGTGGAACAAACTGCCCTGCTCTTTGTGTGTTTTTTAATGCTCCACCAAGACAAGAAAAAAATCGACGTCCTGTTTCCTCAAACCCGAGCGAGCTGTCACATCCAGGAATCTCTTCTTCCACCACGACATGCTGTGAGGATGTTTAATGTCCTCCTTTAAAATGTCGGCCGGTTCATAAGAAGAGTCATAATTTGTTTCAAGCATTTTAAAAGCTGACCCTGAAGTCAGCAGCTCCTGGGGAGTCCTGTTAGACCTTTCATTGGTCCTCTTCATTACCGCTGGTATGCCTTACAGAGCTGTTGACTGCTAAATGTTTTGTCTCAAGTACTCATTGGAGTCCCAGTAAAAAAAGTGCTATGACAACAGTGATTTATGCTCCTTATTTAACACCTGTGTCTGCTCCTAAGTACGCTCTAAGTGTTCTACTGCAAAACAGTAACAGTAAGGATTTTTTTGCCCTATCACGGTGGGACATCTCAGCAAAATTCTACAGATAAATTTCTCTAGAGAGCTGAAATCAGCCTTTAATTAAAAGGGATCCAGCTTAATGCTTCTGGAGCCTTCAGGGCATTTTGTGAGCCTGTACGTAGTAACAACAAATCTTAGTGCTGGGTCAAACTGCTTCACACAGAGGCTTACTGCCTTCGCTGGTACACATTTCTTACAGGTGATTTTTGCTTCCACTTTCAATTGCTCTCCATTGTTCATAAAAAAACATTATTGCTGCAGATGCCATAGTAAACTGATGGTTATTGCTCTTGTGGCTGCACCTATATTTTCTGTTGTAATGACACACTTTGGTTGACCAATCACAATCAACAGCACAGCCAGCAGCCCTGAAAGTACCTGAAACATAAACCTGTTCTCATTCCCAGGTCATCAAATACCGACACTTTGTCACGCCCTTCGGAATATTATAGCATCACATAGAGCACTGTTGAGCATCTCTATGTGCAGCACAGCTGAAACACATCTGTGCTCACCTATTTTCTCCGATAACATTCACAAGGTTTTTACTGGGAGCCGTGTTATCTGCAGAAGTCTCTTCCATCCCCAGAACAAACTGACTGAAACTGCTTTAAACACTGAAAAAAAACCCAGGATTTTTCTGATGCTGTGCATGGGGAAGGGGCTGCTAACAACAGTGGCTGATGCAAAAACGCAAATGGCCCTATCTAGGGCCAGTGTGTGGTTTGTTAATTCTGGGCTACTGTAGAAACATAGCGGTGCAACATGGCAATCTCTGTAGACGAGGACCTGCTTCCTATAGATATAAACGGCTCATTCTAAGTTAACGAAAACACCAGGATTAATATTTTCAGGTGATTATACACAAGAGAAGACATACTTATTATATTATATTCCATTTCTGCCAATATATCCCCCTAAATTCTACACACTGGACCTTTAAAACAATGGTCACTTTTGGTTTGACGCAGGACACAAACTGCGGTCTCCTGGGTAAAAGTCTTTTCTGTTTGACCCATGCACCTCCCCTACCTCCCACGCTATGTGGACCTTTTTGCTCCTTTTACTACATCCATTGCTCTCAGTGTCAAGTATTGCTGCTGATGGGTTCATATTGGAGTTAGCTGAAAGTCTGATGTAACTCATAAAGATGCCAAAGTGGGCCCTTGGCGTTAATATCACATATCGAGGGGCGTGACAAAGCCTCTGTATTCGATGGCCTGTGGATGAGCACAGGCTGGGAACATGCACTGAGTACTACGTCCTGAGCAGGGCCAAAATGTGCCTTGATGCTGTGTGTCATTAAGTCCCTGCACTGAAAAAGACACCACACACAGGTTGAGGAAGCTCTGACACCTTGTTATTTCACTGAGGCACACATTGATCCTGCTTCACTGGAGACGACCTCCGTGAGCAAAGTGTAATGAAAGATAAATGTGTTTACAGCAGCTGAGAAAGAAACAGCGAGCCTTGATCTTTAATAAAAATCCACTTTCCCTGCTGCAGCCATCAGATCAGAACTGAACCACTACCACACACAGCCTTTTAGCTTTAACACGTATTTGGAGTTGGATGTTAAAATTTTTAGGAACATTTTTAGGGTTCTGTAGGAGGCTGCAGGCTGAGTTGATGTGGATGTATGTGAGAGTTGTTCCGCCTTTAGCTCTCTCAGCTCTGTCACTTCCCTACATTGTCAGGGCCTGTGTTCCCCCGGTGCTTCTGCCACCAACGACCCCTCTGACCCTGGATCTAAGACATCACCAGGGCCTGTAGGAGGGGCTCTTCATCTGTCATTGTGTGCATATTTGTGTACAATATTGGAGGATGATGATGGTCTTACCCTCAGTGCCCAGTGCCAGTCCCCTGCAGCCACCTTGGCGCTGGAGCCCAGGATGTAACCCAACCCACTGCAGAGGAGACAGACAAACACAAAACATCACATGCATTACTCTGTATCCGCTCCACTGAGGTCTATCAGTGCATGATATATATTAAGTATATGAGTCAGTGTCCTGAGTCCATACACCTACACTACAACATCCTGTTTGTCTGCTGCGTCAAGTGTTTGGGCACTTGACATGGAGTGCTTTTGACAGTGTAACTGATCAAAGCACCGGTAGCAACTTGGCCAGTTGGTCTATTTGTGGAAGTGTGATTTGTGCACATGGCCACAAACTGCAGGTGCAAAGTTACCGCCCACGAGCAGACAGAGTGCAACACTAACACGGTTGTCTGAGGGCCAACGGCTGTGTGTTGTCACAGTGTAATTGAATTTCACCGCATTTTACTTGAGCTGAAGACTGTTTTGTGTTTCATAAAAGGACATAACAGTGGAATGCTTCGAGGGAAATGTTGTTAGATCACATCAGATCAGATAAAGGGGCCCTTATGCTGTGATAAGCCTCTGCGGCTAGATAGCATCAGCACTTAAAGGACAAAGAGGATTCAAATAAAGCTGATGGTATGAGCTGCAGAGGACTGATAGGTAAGTATGTGAGCATTATCTTCAACATGGTAAATAAAGAGCTGATTAGTCTTTGATATTTACTAGTGATCACTATGACCTGACTTATTTTCAATGTTTCCAGCTTCTCAGTTTTGATTTGCCACTTTTCTTTGTCTTATGTGATAATAAAATGAAGATTTTTCGATTTTAAGTTTCTGTTGGTCAGACAATAGACAGTTTAATGACAACTGTGGTGCTACTTTTATAATGTTTGCCATTTGATAGCCCAAACCATCCATCCGTTAAAGGGACAGTTCCCCCAAAATGAAGAGCACATATTTTTCCTCTTACCCCTAGTGCTATTTATCAGTCTAGATTGTTCTGGAGTGAGTTTCCGAGTGTAGGAAATATCGGCCGTAGAGGTGTCTGCCTTCTCTCCAGTACATTAGAACTAGGTGGTACTTGGCTTACGGTGCTCAAAGTGTCAAAAAATACATTTAAAAATCAACAGGAATGTCTCTCTCCAGAAATCATGACCCGGTTACTCAAGATCTGATCATTAGATGCTTCCATACAGGACATAAGGGATCACAGACTGGTTTGAAAGTGATGTGAACATAATATGGCTTTAACAGTCACCTGATCAACCCAACTGAACAGCAATGGGAGATTTATGTGCGATGACCAATTCTGAGTGACAGCGCTCTCCGCCATCATCATCAAAACACCAAATAAGGGGGTATCTTTTGAAAAAATGTTGATTTTATCTAAGATGCTGAAGGTGGCCCAAGACCTGCTCACTAAAAACAGATATTTACAGATGTGTGCAGAATCTGTAGGCAACAGGACAAGATAATTGAAGGCAGTCCCAAATTATCTGGCTTTTGTTGCCTGCAGGTTAACAGTCTGCGTGGAGAGCAAAACTGGCGCAAATGCAATCTCTGAATCCATTTGCTATTGTCCAACGCAAATTTAGCCTTTTATTCGATTTTTTCGAATTTGGCTGCCTTCACTTGCGGATATTTGTTTATAGAGATAAGCTGAAAGGTTGTCTGGACCTGTCTCAAGAGGAACCCTCACAGAAGAGGAAGTCTTGGCTGAATATCCTCTGGCTACACTGGAATCCCTGAAAAACTGGCCGTTGTCCCCAGAGACTGTATCATCGTCAGACCGATAGCCAAAGAGTTCAGAGATCACCCAATAATTTTGTAAGACATGCTATGTTTTACATTTCTCTTTAATTTGTCATCCATCTCTTGATTCTTCCTGCAGTTTTTAAGCCTCTTCAATAGTCTTCATCAGTAATTGTCAATCAGACTTCCTGTTTTCTCAGAGAACCTGTTTGTCTGCATGTGCGGAGCCTCTGTTTTCCATTAGAACAGCAATAGAATAATGATCAAATGGAGCTGATGACTTTACAGTGGGTGCTTATCAGCATTGGCTGCCAAAGGTCCGAAACTTGTTTAACTGGGTTTCCACACACACACACACATACTCACACCGCTACGTACTCAGAGCAAAGGGGGAAACAGTCTACGTTTGTGCTTCCATGATTAGTTCTCCAAAAATAACACCGCAGTACAAACGGGCTCAGACAGCATATGATATTTCCAGTGAGTGACTAACAGCTAATCTTATCAGAGTCCACCCAGAGAGTGTTTGGAAAGTTCAACACCAACAATAAAACTCGAGCATGAAAAACATGCTCACATCAAACACCGGCGTCGCACAGAAACATGTCTCTGCAGCCGTGTTTAAATTATAGGGGGGAAAATAGGAGAGTAGGGGAATCTATTTCCTGTGAATCCGGTCTAATTCCTGAGGTCATTTCCTGGAAACGGTCACAACAACCTCAGTAAAGACAAACAAGTGGGAGACTGGATAGGATGTTTGACTGCACTTTACTGAGGCCCTCTCTTTCACCTTCTATTGTCTGTGTTGCTGGGCAGTTTACTGTGACCCAAACATTTTGGCAGCTCATAACACAGCCAGTCAGAGGGCAGTTTAGACTTTCCTTTCCTTATTTGTCATACTGTTTCCAATCTGCCATTAAAATGTGCATGATTGGTACACTTAAAACGCCATTCATCAATGTGGTTTGCTCTGCAACGTCAAACTTAACTGACATGTTATACACACATTTAATTCTAATGTTTACAGCGTGCAGACTGCAGCTCGTCCCCCCTTTGCTTAGCATTTCCTTGTGTGTGATTCTGCATGCAGAAGCTGGAAAACAGCGCAGCATGCGGCAGCTCAGGCACATGCTGTTAAGCACTGTATATAACGATAAACCTCAAGTGGCTCCTGCGCTGCATCCAACGGCACATTCATCTTTTATTACTTGGCTTTGTTTGTTTTCTCCCCATGGCCCTTTTTCTGATTGAATGAACTGAAAAGGCTGGAGATTCGAGCTTAATAATACCTCCTACTCTCACACCCCCACAAGCCACATCCCCAAAAAAAGCCTCCTGCCCGGCTTTAAGCTTCACAATTGTAAGTTCAGCTTTTCCTTCTGCAGAGGGCTCGGCTCTTTGTGTGACTGTCTCTGGGAAAAAAAGAAAGAGACAGGAGCGAGTCTGGCTAATTTAAATGATCAATACTAATTCCCCTGAATTCTTTGCCCCTTTGGATTTAACAACTAGCTTGATTGGATGAAAAGTTCAACAGATTTAATATCATTACCGAGCTATAGTTTCAAAAATGCCTGCATGAACATCTCCCAAAATAGATCTTGTTGTTTTGCTGGTGTCTGCTTCAAGACTGCAGGATCTGTCTGGGTCTTACCTTCCCAGGGGGATGGCCAGGTAGAAGACAGAGAGCATCATGGTGCGGCTGTTATTAGTGAACAGGTCTCCTATGATGGTGGGAGAGATGGAAGAGTAGCTGGACTCTCCGATACCCACCAATCCCCTGGAGAGTACAAACAGCCAGTAATACTGGAGAGAGACAAAAGAAAGAAGAAGCAGGAGTTTTGTTATTAAGCTCCAGAGAAAAGAGCACAATGTCAAACCAATGGCTATTTTTCTTGGTCAAAAGTCTTTTTCCTCACCAACTTTTTATTGCAGCACAAAACATTCTAACTTTTCCTTTAGCCCCGAGATGACTTCCTCAGCAGCAGGTCTGTAAATGCCGATACTGTCATTACAATCAGGCTTACAAAGCACATACTGCTGATACAGATTCAGTGCTGATTCACCAAGTGTGTATTCTAACATAAGCTGAAGGGATATAACAATACTGCATATTGAACTGTTTGGTACGAGGCTTTCAGTTTGGTATGCATTACAAACTGAACGATATGTTGAACTACATTTGGAAAATATACAGGTTAAACATTGTTTAATATAATGTTTTCAGTGCCACTTTCTGCATCAATGCATGGTGAAAATGTCTTTAACTGTCAAAATAAAAATCCTCTGCTACTTCTGTGTTTTTATTGCAGGGGACAAATGCACATCTTCTAAATATTGAGGAGGATGTGTCTCTTGCGTCACCCTGAAACACACCTACACTTACACCTATGCATGTCACAACGTCATTTTTCATGAACAATTCAAGGCTATCACACTGACTTTAACATCAAGATTTTGTTACACTTGCTCCAGAAAGTTGGCAAGGTTATCTCTATCGACCAAAACAAATTCTACTTAATGAAAATGTGAAACAGCAGCGTCACGTCAGCATATTTAATGTGCTTAATCCAATTTAGCCATATTAAATTACCACTGCGTATCATCTCCCATCTGATGTAATAAACTGATAAATGAAAAGATGAATACTTAAAAAGGCTTTAATAGGAGCATGCACGCGAGTGGCGGGGGCACCTGTGTAGGCAGCTGGATTGTTAACTGTTTCCATGGCGACCACTACTCACTAGATACAGACTCCCGTGTCTGCTTGTGAAGCTACAAAGAAATCTGGTTCTCCCCACACACTGAAATGGCGCACACTGCAAATGTTGGCCACTAATTTGAGCTCTGTCCATTCAGTGGTCCCATGTGTGAGAATAATTAGCTTTTTATACATTAACATTTCTTTATATTATCTGGGATATTTTTTCCATTTCCACCTTAAACATGCACACTGTGGGTCCTAACAATGTGAGAGTGTGTGTGTGATGGGGTTACACTCTGTAGGGTTTGTCAGCAGAGAAAATGAGATTAATGGCGGTGCTATAGGTAGCAGAGGCAGAGCTGAGACGGTGATCCCTGCTGACCTGAGCTCTCAGCCGACACTACAGGCTTCATGCTTGGCTTCATGCTTGTAGGTTGATGGGACGTCGTGTCATGAGGTCATGCACACAGTCATCAAATATGCTCTGGAGACCACACCACACACACATGCCTTGGTCTAAAATGACAAAACTGTCTCACACAAATTATTTACAGCTTCCTCAAAGGGGAGCTTTCATGCTCATGTTTAGGTTCGTACTTGCATTTTGGGTTTCTACTAGAACATGTTTACATGCTTTATTTTCCTCATACGTTCTGTGCTGGAATACCTAATGACATGCTCTGTTTTAGCACCTGTTTTTAAGCCTCCCTCCCCAAAAAAGCCCAATGTTAGCATTTTCGGTCTTCTGCATTTGTGCCAAGCCTCCAGGAACAGCGCCAGACTTTGAAGCAAATTTTACATAGTGGCCAGACATAGAATAACAATGTCCAAGTCCATCAAGTGATGCCATAGGGCCCAACAAGCCTTTCCCCATAGACTTACATTATGAAAGAGATGTCTGTACATCAATGGATACATTGTTTAAACGCCACAACTGACACAAAATGACTCGTTTCACTATTGGGATTTAATACATTCGGTCCAATGACATTTCTCAAGTCTAAAATAGCCGCATGATTAAATCATTTTTATCCCCATGTGAGTTAGCAGAATACTAAACCGGAAGTTAGCTGCTCGGCCGCTCTAGGTGTGCTTGCTCTATGGTCCAACAATGCAGAATATCTGGGTGATTTCTACTGTGGAAGCTTTTTTGGCTTCATACACCGCTGACCAGCTTCCATAGAAATGAATGTGGCCCTTGCTCCAAAACACTGTATCCAGTTCTCTGTATACATCCATGATATGCGCTCTCTGTACCGTCATTGTAGCCAGGGAATAACTGAGATGGAGTAACGTCACTTTCTACCATTAAAAATCACCAATAAAAGCTTCTAGACACAACCAAACATGTTCTAGCAGGAATATGATCCGAAATCGTAGGGAAAGTAACAACATCTGCAACCAACCATGTTAGCATGTAGCTACATGTAGCAGTATAGGCTATATAATGTAAACACTTACATTAGCGTGCAAGGAGCAGATGACCATATAAATTACGTATGGTTGCATGCAATAGGCACACAATCAGGACATACTACTTCGTCATAACACTGCACTTTGAACTTTGACCCTCTTGTTCATATATCCATTACCAAGGAGGTAAAACAAAGCGCCTTTCCTCAAGCTCGCCCGAGATGGAGGTCTGTCTGTTGTTACTTTACAATATGTATAGTTTTAACTTTTAAGTTAAAACTACATATGTTGTAGATCCTAACATAATATATATACGACAGTAAAATTAAATGTGCATTTCCCTGTCATTGTTATTTTTATTTTTTTGTTGGTAATCTTTATGATTATTTTGTTTACTTAAACAATTAATATTCCTATTGGGCTATTATTATTTGGCTGGTCATCAGTCACTTGAACGTGCTGTCATCCATCATTGCGGCTTCTGACTGCTGTCAATGAGCTGTCAAACTGTCATCTGTTTTTGGCTCAGTCAATGTGACGACTCTTCAGCTGCGCAGAGGATTGTGGGTCAGAACAGCCCGAAAAGCATAGTGGCTTCCATTTAGCAAAATGCGACCAAATGCAGTAGAACATCCCAGTATTTTTGGCCTACTGCATTTCACATTAGCGTGTAGCTACATGTAGCAGTGTATGTAATGTAAACACATACAGTAGCGTGCCTGGAGCAGATGATGATATAAAGAAATCCGTCATGATCTGATGTCAACTTGTCTTGAAAGTAGAAAACAATGTTGGAAATGGAGTATTCAGAGCAGTCTGAAGCCAGAGGATTATGCTCACAGGGATTACTTTTACATACAAGTACCTCATTATCTGAAACTTTGGTAATGTCTACTACAACCATCTGACATAACATTATGTATTTGACAGAAAATAAGGAAAAGCACAACAGGTACCCTTGAAACTGCTTTTTCTTGCTTTTCCTTTTGTGCTATATGAGCTGCTGTTCATGATGGATCACAGCTGAGCTCTCTCTGCCGTATATCTCTTTGTATTTGTCATGTTGTTCCAAATGATTTACAGTCAGTCTATTTTCTTTTAATGGCCCATCGTTTAGTGGGATCATGATGGCAGTCCTTTTTGTTTGTGTGGTCACCAGACTATCATCTCCACTTGGAACTTGGAACAGAAACGCCAGGAACAGTGACAACAACAAAAAGCAGCAATGCCAGGAAAGCGCCACAAAAATGAGGTTGTAAAAGCAGATTGAAAACTATGATGAGATAAAAGACAACACTTTTGAACTATTTTCCAACAAAGCTAAGAATAAAGTACTATGCCACCGGCTCTATGAGGCTGTACATAAATACAGTGGTGCTACTGTGTTGCTTTGACACATCTGATTATGCTATGTTGACTTTAGAAGGTATAATCTGTCCTTACAGCCTCGACATAATCACTTCAGTGCATTGAAGAAGATACTTATGATAATAAGGCTGGGAAGAGCCACTTTGCTTCAGCCTACATCTTACTTCAGTGCTTACACAGACTCATTTTCTCACAGTTTGCATGTAGATGGAGCGGAAATGGTTTGTTGACAGGTCAGATGTGAGGGATGTAACCGCTGCTAGACTCATTATAGACTCACATTATTTTAAATCGATATCAATAGTATTTCTTTTGACATCAATGTCTTACACTAAAAAAATGACTTTTGGTAGAGAAGCCCCTATCACAACCCAATCACCTGGAAAATATTGGCATTGTCCTTCATTGCAAACCACCACGATGTTACATTTGCACAGTATTATGTAGTGGTTACCTTGAAACTTTACATTTCAACAACTCTGTGGTGTAAATAGGTTTAGGAACTAAAACTACTTGGTTATGGTCAAGAAAGAATCATATTTTGGCTTAAAATACCCAGTTTGGGGGCCACAGTCCTCGCTGGGAAAACAGCCACATTTGGAGCATGGAAATACAGGGATAAATCGCTACAAACACCCACGTTTGGAGCCTAAAAAGCTGCTGGAGAAGCAGCAATAACCCCTTTTACACTGCCAGATTTTCGGCAAATGTTGGACAGTTTTGCCGGCAAGCTGCGAGCGTTTACACACACACACACACAGCCGGATTGGCGAGCTGATCCGAGTTGCCCAATTTTCCTCCTCGTAGGTAGACATATTGGTGGAACCTTTTTGGTTTAAACAGGCCGAGGAGCCCTTCCGCCACGGGAGGGGCTGTTGATGACTTGTGGGAGGAGCTGTTGATGACGCCACACGTGCGACCCACTGGCGGTGGATAAACAGGAAACAGCTGATAGCAGGAATTAGCGAGCAGGGAAACGCAAACCTGACAGACACTGTGAAGATGAGCAACTGGGGAGACAAGGAATTGCGCGCCCTCCTTGTCCTCGCTAATGAAGAGGCCATTAACTGCCAAATAACGGGGACGGCGAGGAACGGGCCGACTTATGAGAGAATCGCCAAAGGACTGACCAGCCGCAGCTTCCCTCGGTGTACGTCATTGTTTACACCACATGCTGAGCTACACGTTTTGTTACTTGCTCACGCCCTCCATTGCCCCGAAAAAGGCAAATTCTGTATGAACAAAAGTAGGCAGGCGGCATTTTGCTGCACTCCCCGATTTTGTTTTTATACTGTCAATGCTGAAAGAAGACTGATTGGGCTTTCCTGCACATTTGCACAATTCCTGTTTAAAAAGGGCTAATGACTTGCTAAAAAACAACTGGTTTTGTTGTCCGTTGGTCTTGAGCAGTGGTCTGCAGCTTGGCGTGTGTCTGGCCTACATATCACATCATCCATCATTCCCTCCACCTCCTGATGACGAAGTCAGCTCATACACTGCATCACTTCAGAAATGCTGATATGATACACACGAAATGTGCAAATGTATTCATGGTTTGCAACAACTTATTAACTTATTAACTTATGGAGACTGTACCAACATCATGACAGTTGAGAGACACAATCTAAGGTGTGTTCAACATTCACACTGATGGTAGATACAACTATAAAAATGACAGTCATGAAAATAAACATATGTTGTCCTGATAGGAATAAGGGAACATCAATCCGCAGACAGGCTGCATTACAACGGTAATTCAGTGGTCATTATCCTTGTCTCACCCTCTTTATATTCACAAGATGAAAGTGAATGAAATGAGTCATGCTTTCCATTGGATGAAATTATAAATAGACTGCCACTAATGTGCTCCTAATTTCAAATGCCCTACAAGTGATCATTTTACGACCATAATCTGTTGTGCTCATGCAGAAAAAAGCGTGCAATTTCACTTTACAGCAGAATTCTATTACATAAGATCTGAACTCCGTATCTGCTGCAAATCCCTTCAAAAGAGTGTCTTAAATGTGTAATGATAGGACTCAGTTGTAAGTGGTCATTAACATTTCATTACACATCATGTCTTTCATCTCTCATGGCGACAGCGCTGTGGAGCTATTACATAAGAGCCATCTACTCTTGTCTCATTTGACTGGAACATGTCTAGAGGGTAAAGTTAAAGTTGGGGGCAAAGGACTGCAGGTGCTGAGTCCCCATATCCTCAATGGCAATCAGCGGCCTTTGTGGCATCTGTCAGAGGGGAAGAGGCCTCTAATTTCAATTTAGCCATAAGCAGCATGAATGTATTTCCTGCTTAGGCAAATGGCTGCCATCTTGTCTCAAAGCAGATGAGTCTATAGGGGATTTAAGTCAAAGGACGCCCTCCTCCTGAGACGTCTCTGAGCTGTCATTACCTTCCACAGCTCTGGGCTGAAGAGCTTCGGCATTGTCACTGGAGAGACGACTCTGCGGGACACCATGACGTTGCTCTGCAGACATGCCACATGCTGCATAAATCTAACTAATGTAGCTTTTAATGCCACATATCCCTGCAAGTCGAGCAACTTCAAATTGCCAATCTGTTTGATTTTTATTACAACTGTCCATCAAGACTGTATAATGGGGTCCGTCTACACCTCCACATGTGCAGAGCCTTTTACTGTAATATGATGGCTCCTCTCAGCGGGACACCCCTCTCCCACATCACAGCCCCCAGGAATAATGTTATTGTTTAATGCATCCAACTCCGCCCAGCGTGCAGGGGCTTTTAGAGATATGAAATCTAAATCCACTTGTCAAGGGGCAGTGAAACAACAAGGTCTTATCTTCTAAGGCATTGTAATTGAGACAAGTCTGAGGCATGGACCTTCATTAGTTGATTGGCTGGTGGCCAGTGAGTGAGAGAACGAGAGAGAGGGAGACATAAAGAATGTCTACAAAGGCAAAGAGGGTGTCTGACTTAATGAGCGTGTCATTTTATTTCACCAGCCTTAACATCAAGCATATCCACATCATAACAGAATAATTAGCTCGTCAGTATGGGCCGCATCACAGGGATGGCAGCCTAATAGAGTAACGCTGGAGTGGCTGTGCTGCTCTGTCAGAACGATGTCGTACCTCTTTGCTGATGAAGGAGCTCAGCAGAGTAACAATGGACCAGAAGAAAATGCCACAGCTCAGGATGACCTTTCTGTTGAATCGGTCGCCCAGGTAACCGAAGATGGGAGCTGCCACCATGAAGCTGCAGATGAAGACTGCAGAGGGAAAAAAGGAGAGGAGAAAATGTTACTTTGGATATAGTGACAGACAGGAATTACCAACTCATGGTTGTATGCCCTCTGCAAACCAGTCAAATTGCACTTATAATTTACATCCGTGTTTGTAAAAACATGGATGCTTCACACACATTTTCCTCCCAGCACCACAGAGGATCTATATGATCAGCGCAATTTCAAGATGGACACCCAAGATTAGTGTCATCAATTTAGTATCTGACCAAATGTCTCCCCTTTTGTTCCTGAGATATGATGTCGAATAATGGCAGAAAACTGTTTTTGCCAAATATCATGATGTCAAAGTGAAGCTGACCTTGGACCTGTTGGATATAAAATGGCATCCTATCAGACATTTGTGTAAAAATTTTGTCATACTTAGCATATGAATTCTTGAGTTATGGCCAAACACGTTTTGCAAGGTCACAGTGACCTTGACCTTTGACCACCAAATTCTAATGACTTCACTCTTGAGTCCAGAATTGAGAACATTCCCTTGAAGTTTTCTTGAGATATCATGTTCATGAGAATGAGATGAATGCAAGGTGAACTTGACCTTTGATCACTAAATTGTAGTTAGTTCAACTTTGAGTTCAAGTGGATGTTTGTGCCAAATTTGAGAAAATTCTCTCAGAGTGTTAAGACATTGCTTTCATGAGAATGACATGGATGAGGTCATAGTGACTTTGACCTTTGACCACCAATTGAAATTTTGACATAACTGAGTTCTTGAGTTATGGCCAAAATCATGTTTGGTGAGGTCACAGTGACCATGACCTTTGACCACCAAATTTAATTTAATTCTTGAGTCCAAGTGGACATTAGTGCCAAGTTTGAGGAAACTCCCTCAAGGCCTTATTGAGATCTCACTTTCATGAGAATGGGACAGACACAAGGTTGCAGTGACTTTAACCTTTGACCGCCAAATTCTAATAACTTCATTATAAAGTCAAGCTAACATTTGTGCCAAATTTGAAGAAATTCCCTTTAGGTGTTCTTGAGATATTGCGATCACAATAATGAGACAGTCGAGATCACAGCGACCTTGACTTTTGACCTTTGACCACCAATATCTTATCAGTTCATCGTTGAGTCCATGTGTATGTTTGTGCTAAATTTGAAAAAAATCCCTCACAGAGGTCTTGATATATTGTGTTCATGGGGATGGGACAGACAGATCGACAATCCACAAACATAATGCCTCTGGCCATGGCCACAGCGCAGAGGCATCAAAATGACTGTTACTGATGTGGACATATGTATTACAGCCTGGATTTAGCTATTTACAGCGTTCCAATTGGGCTGCGAAGTATTTCAGCTCTCAGGTCCACTTATTATAAAGTCAAGACCTGTCCAGATTGACTGTGTGATACCAGTCGGCCAGAGATACAGTGAAGGACTGCCAGAGGACACCTCCATTCAACTCCAACCAATTAGGATTCCATTAAACTTCACCTACACTTACTACAAGAAACCTGGCAAAGGAATATTAAATACAGATGATACATCACCGGGAAATGTCACGGAGAAAGGTGATGTGGGTCGTGAAGGATTTAATTTGTGAGAAGAGAGGGGAGGAGTTGAACAAATGTAGTGCAGGGATTGTAGGAAAAGCTCCAGTCTGGAAAGTGGCCAAATACAGTAGCTACAGTAGAGACAGAGTGAGAGAAAAGAGGGTAAGATAGAGATAGCATGTTGTCAGTTTGTTGGGATCAAACAAATCAAAAAGCTGGCAGAGGAAAAGAAACAACAAAAACATGTCACAGCTGGAATTACAATTGAGGTGACCAGATACAAGGAGATTAATAGCAGTATGTCTCACACTGGCACCAGAGGACTGTGGTGTGGCCATAAATAATTCCTCCATCTTAATTTCTACAACCAAACTTGTGTCCCAGTGAAAGGAGCACAAGTGCTTTAAAGTGTGCTCCTAATTGCCCCACTGCTGACTGGACAACTACGCCTCGGTCTCAGGGCTTTTAGTCAATATTTATGAGGCGGACCGACCCAAACAGACCTGAATTTTTAATGCTCTCAAACTGAGTTTTGCGTCTTTGCAGAGGGGAAAGGGCAGAGATGTTACTCTTGACAGCAGCAGCAGCAGCAGCAGCAGCAAGGGGAGCGAGGGAGGCAGGCTGGAGTGTTTTGACACATCATCAGCATAAACATACAGAAGAGGAAGGGAGGAGAGGAGATGAGAGAGCAAAGAGTGGAGGGGGGTGTTATATAAGACAGCTGCTGTGGCCAACCAAACAGATAAGGGACAATAATCAGATTATGGCATAACTGTAGTTTTGAACATGTGATATTATGGCATGATAAAAAAGGAAAAGATGTCCTTTTGTAATCATACTTCGCAGATGAGTTACCTAAAAATAGTGCAAAAGCAATCATGTTACATTACTGTGCTGCAGGTATTTCAGTCAGTTATGCACTGGAACACATTTACCCATCAGTACACATTTTATTTGATCGATTTATTGTCTCAGCTCTAATTTCTCTTTTAGGACTATGCAGTGGTAACATCACTCATGTTTTCTTTTATTTTTGTCTTCACTACCTTTATTTCTTTCACTTCTACCTTTAATTCATTTTGTTGTTAGTGCTATTTGCAGTGCGGTCTTTGATACTGCTGCTTTATTGTTTTGCAATCTTTCTGTATACATACAAAAAAGAAAAGCATCTTACACTGAAAAAGGAGCAAAACCTACAGAAGCAGCAGATACATGCACACATAGCATAAGACGCTAAACAAACAAATAAATAGTGTATGATGCAGCAGCACGATGTGTTGTGGTTAGCATTGTCGCCTCACAACAAGAGGGTTCCTAGTTCGTACCCAGGAGGGAGCCCATCTGTGCGGAGTTTGCATGTTATCCCCGTGTCAGTGTGGGTTTTCTCCAGGTACCCACTGGTAGTTAACCCACGATGACACAGGGTTAACTCCGCACCCCCCCACCCCAGATTTGAACCAGGAACTCTCTTGCTGTGAGGCGACAATACTAACCACTGCACCACCATGCCATAATGGCATTGGTATCATAACATTTTTATCAGTTCCCAACCCTAGTCTTAAAATGTAAATCAATATTATACTGAAATGTTAATTGTATAATCAGATATTTATTTTATATTTATTTCTTCAAAAAATAAAATATCGTAATTAATAATTTATAAAGTAATATCATATTCATACAACAACCACACTGGTAAAATACACGTATCCTCCAGCGTGGCCCCACTCTCTCATTTTGAGAAAGAAAATCTCATTTCAGAAAATGAAATGTAATCTAAAATCTCATTTAAATCTCATTTAAATTATCATTAATGAATGAATCAATTACAGTTTGGGTTTTCACAGGTGCTGGAATGACTTTATCTGCTCATTACAGCTAATGAGTTTCTCCCACCTCAGTACAGTACTCCCTCTTTAACTCTCAGCCTCACCTCACCTGTTCTTTCTCTCCCTCTTGTTGCCTGTGTTTGTTTCCATCCCTCCTCCTCTCTCCTTCTCCGCAGCCTCCATCGTGAGCATTTATAGTGGCTAAGTGCTGCAGGTCTGTTGTGTAATGCTAAATGACACTGATGACTGCTCAGTGTAGGTCCAGCTCTCTGAAGAGCTTTACCAGCTCACCCTGCAGCCACTGCGCTACTGGGGAAACCATGCACACATACAGTAAACACACACACACACACACACACACACACACACACACACACACACACACACACACACACACACACAGAGCGGGGTGTTCTGCAGTGCAAACTGGAGATAAGATGAGGGAGAGGTCCACAATCACTCACTACCAGCTGCTTCCACGTGGGTTTTAAAAGCCAAGGTTCACTGCTCTCACTTTTTAGCAGCTTGTCAAAAATGCATATCTACACATCATTAACCGGCCTATTTGAAGTCATTAGCAGGACCACACAGCAGCATACCTCCCTGTGCCCTTTTTCGTGTAATTTTCTGATTTGTTGCCATTTTCTTAGGACTCATTATCGCCTCTTTGCAGTGTCAGCACATGGGAATGAAGTCAGGTCCTGACAGTGTGCTTGCACTTATTTAGCATTAACCTTGCTGCGTTTTTAACCTTGCTGCTTTCTGAACAAGGGAGGGGAGCTGTGTGTTTATATTGCTTTAATATCCTGCATGATTGGTGTGAGTTCAGCTTCAGTAAGCAAAACTAAGCAGAAGGAGATAACGCTGCTGCATCTCCTTGGTGCAGAACTTGGCAAAAACAAAACAAACGTCTATAAAACCATTTTTAGTTTTAAAAACGCAGGTGTAATGTCAACAGAGCGACCTGACAGGGCAGACGTCAGAAACATTTTGTCAAGGCGCTGCTTTTAAGTGACAGAATGAGAAGATGATGAATTGCTGTCACAAACAAATTTCTTTACTTGACAAGTATCATAGAGGAATGTTGTCAGGTTGTTTATTTCAAACAAAACAGATACACCCTTCCACAGAAACAGTTTGCGTTGTTGCATTCTCTCTAATCAAATTCTTTCTAATCAGAGTCGGCACTGACATCCCTGCTGTGCTCTGCAGATCTGGATCGAGAGACGGTGTCTCATTTGCTTTGACCTTATTCATAGATCCACAAGAGAATAATATATTTTAAATAGGTATTTGTTTAGAATGATAATAGGACACATCGTAAAAGTGTTGCCTGACTGTCGATTAAACCCGTTATTGCAACGAATGATACAGTAAAATATGGATTCACAAAGGAGACACCTGGTTCTTTTCACTCAACACAAATCAAAAGGAATCTTTCATGGTGTCATTTTGATGTAATGAATCTAACTGTATATTTTAGCAGATTGTGTACACATGCTGTCAGAGAGCGGATGCACACTGATATTACATTCAACCTTTATGTGGGCTCATCTGCTCCCAGGAAATGCCCTGTCACTACAAAGACTGTCTATAAAACGACCCCACTGTTCTCCTGTCAGTCTTCTGTGAAAGCTGC